GAGGACATGGGTCTAACAGAGAGTAACCGCTTCCTTGCCATGGCTGTGCACTGGTCAGGCCTTCTCACTCCTAGCGTCAGGTCAGCTCTAGGTCACATCTAAATTATCCAACAGAGCTTCTGGAACAACTGCTGGTCAGTATGGTCTCCAGAGTTGCTTGGTCTGTGGTCCAGAAAAGCCCTCACTGACAACCTGGGCCTCTGACGAGTAAACCTTCTCCTGCTTCTGAAGTTCAAGGTGAGTGGAGGGCAGAGCCTGTGTCTGTGTGACGTGAGAGGAGCTTTAATAACAAGATGGCCCCTTTTGCAGGTGCCTGGCATTGGAGACGAGGGGTGCCCTCCAGAGGCCACACTTCAAGGAAGCAGTGATAGGTTCAGAGAGGGGAAGTAGAGGAAGAAGAGGAAAGTAGAAATGGGATATGAAACCTTGGGCGTTTCAGAGGAGTGGTCGTTGTGAGTGACTGTGTTTTAAAAACAAAACTAAATAATAATGGTTGTAAAGAAAGACTTGTCCTGCCTAAGGAAAACAAGAGCAGCTGCATTTACTGAGTGCCTACAGCATACCAGCATTATTTAATCTTCATAATGACCCAGTAACGTAGACATTTTGGGCTCTATTTTACAAATGAGTAACCTGAGGTCCAATGTCATACAGCTAGAATGTTCCTGCCCAACCTCTCCTCACTTTCATTCCTGTTGGATTTTGTACGCCTTCAGTCTTCGGGACTCTGGGAGAGCGTTGGTAACTCGGGTCCTGGGGCCAGTGACCCCAGAGGGCTGTCTTTGCAGAGCTCCCCAAGAGCTGGACACACAGCTTACTCCTCCACAAAGCCAGGCAGAGCTGGCCCCCTTTTACCTACCTAGGGCCCACAAAACTAATTTTTTCCTTTTTGTCCATTATAAATATTTTAAAACATATATTTCATTGGGAAAACATCAGCTTGGAAATCCTGGAGGCTAAAATCATTTCTCTAACCCGGCGGGACAACAGAAGGAAAGCAGTGCTCTGTACAGTAAGCTGCTGACTGCCCTGCCCTGGGCCTTAACTGGTATCTAGAAGGTTCTCTCTGGTGACTAAGTTTTTGTACAAAACATGAGAGAAAGGAAAAAAGAAAAGCAAGGATAAATAAAGGGCAGGTATTTTAGTCCCCTCTTGCACTGTCCTTTTAGCAATTAGAGTCCTTTTTTTCTGAGAGTTGAAGGCTTAGGACGGGACCCCCAGGCGTGCTCTGCCTGCTTGGGCTGGACTTCTAGACAGCCCTAGCTTCTGGACTCCCTGACTCACCTGTCTTGGCACCTGAGGACTGACTGCTTGCTCCTCCGTTGCTGGGCTTCTGGAATGCAGACTTTCCACCTGTCTTGGTCATGATAATCACCTGGCTTTTAACTTCTGGAAATCACTGGTGTCCACCACTCACACCTTCTGCATAACTTCATCCGGACCCTTGAACGGTCTACCCTGTCCTAGAGCCTTACTTGCCCCCCATGCCCTGGGGTGACAGAAGATGGGGAGGGGATATGTGGGTGGGGACATGGCTTTGCCCCTCATCTCCAGTACTCAGCTTTGGGGGGGCGCAGAGGGAATCTGTGGGGGTGAAGGTTGGCAAGGCACAGGGTATCTGTGAGTTGCCACAGTGATACCTAAACTCGGGGGGTGAGGGTAACACACGAGGGACAGGAGGGCAGCTCAGACCACCACCAAGAAGCCAAACGGGGCGCTTTATCAGAATTAAGTGATCTGAATGCAGATCTCATCTGCACCAAGCAAAACCATCACACAAGTGTGATGAATGGCATAATGTGCAAGTGTCATGAACGGAATAATGGTACGACCTTCCCATCACCCCAAAACTCTGCAAGATGGCCTTCATGGTGCAAAGCAATAATAATTTAACTAAACCAAATATTTAAAATGGCAGGGTCTAAAGGTAGAAATAATGATAAGTAAATAGACATAAAAATCTTTAAAAGACTATATATGATGACTGTTTACAAAATCAGTAATGCCTCATGTATTAGAGCACATGGCACTTATGGTAAACCACTTCACATTTTATCATTTGGAATAAATAAAGGTTTTTATTTTTATGCTTTGAAAGTGCCCCTTTCAAGCGCTCCTTCCTCCCGCACTGCCCGTCTACCAGGCTGTCAAACTTCCTTTAGTTCTGCCAATGGACACCCTTTTATCCCCTATTCAACCTCCTCCTTTAGTCTCCTATGGACCTGGAAACCAGGTAGTCATGTTTGTTAGAACAGTTTGTAAATTAATAATAAATAGAATTTTAGGGTTTCCCTGGTGGCGCAGTAGTTAAGAATCCACCTGCCAATGCTGGCAGCACGGGTTCGAGCCCTGGTCCGGGAAGATCCCACATGCCATGGAGCAGCTAAGCCTGTTCGCCACAACTACTGAGCCTGCGCTCTAGAGCCCGCGAGCCACAAATACTGAGCCTGTGTGCCACAACTACCGAAGCCCGCACACATAGAGCCCGTGCTCCACAACGAGAGAAGCCACCGCAATGAGAAGCCCACGCAGCACAACGAAGAGTAGCCCCCGCTCGCTGCAACTAGAGAAAGCCCGGGCAGAGCAACGAAGACCCAATGCAGCCAAAAATAAATAAATAAATAAAAATAATAACAATAATAAATAGAATTTTAATGAATGGCTCTGGGTCGCTAACTTATGAGTAAAATGCATGGACCTTGGGAAATGGCCACTGTTCTGATTTTCTGCCTGGGTTCTGGGTTGGTAGGGACGCCAGGAAAGTGAGGGATCACTGTAGCACAAAACATCGTATATACCGACCGTCCGCTGATTAACTCTACAATGCAGCATGGATTTGTTGTTCTTCTTTGAAGTAGATCTGATAGCCCATAGGTCAGGTAAACAGACTGACACCCATCACCTGCAGAAGCCCTTTAAGAAGTCGGGTCTTTTAAATTCACTGGCACCCCCCAAATCCAACCATCGGGAGATACTGTCAGCAGAAGATCACGCAGTGACCTCAGATACCAGATCCAGCCCATCCCACCTGGACCCTGACAGCTCTGTTATGTTCTGTGCTCTTAAAAGTTCAATGTACCCCGCCCCACCCCCAGACAGTTAAAAGTTAGCCGATCCCTCTACCAGTTTATAGATGCCGGTACAGATGCCTACAAACATATCATTCCCTCTTCAGGTCTTGAAACCTAGACTATTACCCCAAATGTGAGAACGCGGCATGTCTAAGGTCATTTAAGTTGGACACCTGTGGAGTCAGTATCGTATAAAGGAAAGAACACCAAGCCTGGAATCAGATTGCTTAGATGACGTTTCTGCTTGTGACAAGGTCGTGGTCACAGGGAAAGAGCTGGTCTTGACAAGTCCAAGGCAATCTTTCTGCCTCGCTGCTTCCCTCTTTGTATGCTGCCCGTCCAAAGGGGAGATCTGCAGAAAAGAAATCTTACCAGACGAGAAGGTGATGGCTGGAGACACAGTCCTGAAGAGCTGTGGGTGGGTTGAGCATGGGTTGGTCTCAGCCAAAGGCCACCCTTGGGCCATATGCAGAGTCCTCGGTGAGGGCCAACGAGCGTCCAGGCTTCTCAGGAGCACAGAGTCATCATCGGCCACTGGAATGATGAGGAAGAAAATTATGATCTATTCAGACCCATCTCTGACATTCAGTTGAGGATGCTTCATTTCTCAGTCACCAGGTCCTAGAGCCTGATGCAGGACTTGGGGCCTCCTCCCCCATCACTCCTGGGAAGCCATACAGGACATTAATGGAGAGCTTAGCCAGAAGGACCACACCATCCCATAGTAAGTATAAATCAACCTGAAATACAATCAACCTTGACTTCCCTTGGCGCCTGTGAATGATGATAGCCAAGATGCAGGCTGATTCTATATTCAATTCTCAATGCAAGTTTCCCCCATGAATTCAATTTGGCGTGCTTGTGACAGCAGTGTGCAGGTGTGCGGGCCGACTGGGTAGCAGAGATCCAACAGAGCACAGTCTACATGTTTACATTTATGGGCCCATTTGTCTGACAGCTTTATGTGGGTGTGATGAACGGTCCCTCTAACTCACATAGGGGGGAACCTCTGGGGAAACCACTCCCCAGGCCAGTTACATAAAAATGGTGATGCTGGTGATGATGAAGATGAGAATGGTGAAGTTACCAGTGGGGTCAGAGAAAAGCCCAGAGTGAAATTCCAGCAAGTTGGCTGCCACTCCCTGTAGGCCTCCTCGATGGCCTTGAGGATCTCCTCAAGGAACCAGAGGTGGTCAGAGCTGGAGAGAACGTTAGACATCACCCAGCCAGCTCATCTCGCACACAGGGAAGCTGAGGCCCAGAGATGCAACGCGATGTGCTGACAGTCCCACAGGTGGTTACGAGGGGTGCTGTGGCTTCACCTTGGGTCTCAGTCCAGCTCTCTTGCCATGATAGCACGTTGCTTTCTAGGAGCCTCTGCTCGAGCTGTGAGCTGCCCTGCGTCAGGAGCCACTCTGATGGCTGTCCTGCTCTCTCAGTGCGGAGTATGTCGCTATGGAAGGATCGCTAGGGATCACGTGTCCTTGGGGATCTGTGATTGGGTACGGGCTCAGAAGTTCTAACCATTGCCCCTCCACCTGCATCCCACCTTCACACTCAAATATGGGAGTGATTGAGGGTAGATACACGTTGAGGGTCCCTATATCTTAGAAGCTTATCCCATAAACTGAACATCCGAGGTCAAGGAAGAAACCCCAGCTTTTATGAGTCTCTTTCTAAGCAGCCCAAACGGAGGATGTGTTTTCGACAGAAAGGGCAGATGATTCAACTCCAGACTCCAGTGTCTCCACATCTGGCCCATGGCAGGTGCTCAGTAAATCTGTGCAGCTTGAATGGAAGGGGAAGACAGCCAGTGTCAGACACAGAGCTGTTTTCTCCTCAGCGTATCACCTCATTCATTCAACAAACACTTGTACCTTCACATATGCCTGGCACACAGTGGGTGCCCAGTCCTATTTGATGCACAAATGAATAAGTGCACTGAATACAGTGCTCCATCATGCACTCAGCAGAACGAAGGGCACTCAGAACCCTTCTCCTTCACAAGCCCCTGAACCGGCAACGGCCACTGCTCCCTAAGATGACATGAATCGACCCCGTGGAGAAGGTCTTACTTCTGGCTTCTGGAGGTATATCCCTTTGCCATCTTGGGTCAAGTTTTGGAAGACGTCTGTGAAAATGCAGTACAAAAGAACACAGCTAATGCGTGTGTATGTGTTGGAAACGAGAGGGACTAGCTCCTCCCATACGGCCCCTCACCCAGGAAGCCAATTTCGGCCTCTGTGCAATCACACGCGCCACACTTGTTCTAAGCGAGCCGCTTCACACCTTGGCCCTGGAGCAGGCAGGGCATAAGTTAGTTCGGGTAGACGCAGCTAGGTTTCACAGGCACAGAGCCAGCGTTCCCCAGAGCTCCCTGCACTGGCAGCAGTCCTCTCTCGTGCTTGAACTGGGGACAGGTGGGCAATCCACGAGGAGAGCAGAGGAAGCCCGGGCCCTCCCTCCTTCCCCCCAGCTCACCCTGCATGTTCTCCACATGCAGCATCAAGCGGACAAAGCTGACGAAGGCCATCTGGAGGTCAGGGCTACCGTAGCGGATGAGCATCAGCTGGCAGACGTCATCACTGAGCGCGATTCCCGCATTGAGCAAGGGTTCCCACCGTGGGTGCCGGAAACCTCATACCCAGCTCCCCTCCCACCTGAGGCCCCTTAAATTGTCCCTCCACTTCCAGCACCTGAATCCTAATAGCCTAAGATCTTCTTTTACCCGGTTCATTGTGAATTTTTCAATTATTTAGCCTATTAATTTTATTGTCTCTCCATTCTCCATCCCTGTCCCCTAGGCAACCAGCATGAGGATCTTTTTATCACGTGGGTTACTGGCCTTGAAGGCAGGAGGCAGTCTGCTTAGTGGTCAAGAGCATCTGCCTTGGAGTCTGGGAGTCCTGGATTTAAGCCCCAGGCAAGTTAACTTCTCTGAGCTTCAATTTCTTCCTCTGTGAAGTGGGGATTAGAACAGGGTGTTGGCAAAGATTAAATGCGAGTATACATGTGCCAACCCTCAGTAAATGTTAGCTGTGATCATAGTGATAATAATCAATGGTTTAGTTATTCACAGATCCTGGTCTTTGGGCCTCTGAACTCGGGGAGTAAACCTACTCATTAGAAGATTGCAGGACGCCACACACCCTGCCCAGCACCACTCACCCCCGCCGCCCCATCCCCTGCCTGGTGTGCGCCCTGCAGCATCACCTCCCCACCCGCCTCCAGGCCTACCTGTGTCCCTCATGGCAGCCCGCAGCTGGGCCCAGTTCAGGCATCCTGAGCAGTTAGTGTCTTGCTTGTGGAAAACCTCCTGTGAAGAGCCCACACCAAAGGCTAAGGAAGCCAGGCGTTTCCAAGCCCCACCTGAGAGCCCTCACACCCCGATGTCAAGGCTGCAGGACAGCTGAGTGTGAGGCTCCACCGGTAGGCCCGGCTGCCTAGACAAGAATAGGGCAGGGGGTCCCCGTCAGGATCCCACCTCCTCTCCCAGTTCTCCTTAAGGCTTGTGAGAGTGGGCGGTCTTTCTGTTACGGGGGATGGAGAGTCTTGGTATAGGTAAACGTGCCTAATCTGAGCACGCCATCCAAATTTTGAAGGGCTTCCAACCTTATGACTCAGGAGACGGGAGGAGAGTTGTGAGTAATGATTGGAAAAGTAGGAGGGAGCCAATTTATGAAGGACTCTAAATGCCATGCTAAGGAGTGTGAACTCGACTGACGGCCATGGGGAGTCTCAAAAAATTTTTAGTAAGGAAGCGATGTGATCAGATGTCGCTTTAAAAATTCAGAAGACTATTGCAACAGGCTCTCTGAGTTTGGGAGAGAAAGGAGGAAACACTAAAAGGACATTAGGGAAGATTAGGTGAGTGGTTGGGTAGAAAGGGCTGAAAGGGAGAGGGGTACCTTACAGTTTTGCAGAATTGCCATTTCTGCACTGTCCCGTGGGAGGCGTGGTGAACACTTGTTCTTACCTGATAGAGCATCAGCTGCTTCCATGGGTCCCTGAATTCCTGGATACTCATGGTGCCAGACGCATTAAGCTGATAGCAGGGTTAAGGTCAAAGCCGCCAGGGGAGTTTTGTCCACACCTCTGGAGGCAATGGGCCCTCCACACAGCAGTGTGCAATTTGAGACACCCCATTCAATGTTAGCCAACCCTAGCTGGCCTCCCTTGACTGCTCAGTGCAGCCCAGGGCTCCCTGGCCCTTACTAGGAAAGGACAGAATGAGCTGCAACACAGCAGCACTGAGAGGAGAGGATGGTCTGATGATGGTGATGATGACAGTTACCACTTAGTGAAGCAGGGTATTCTGACATGGCCAATCTGATGCGATTTAAATAAAAAAATAGTAACTCTTTTTTTCACTGTTGTCAAAACCAACTCATGGAAGGAGTCAGGCACAGGGTGGCTAAGGATGCCTCTTATATTTAGTCATTTTAGGAACGGTTAAAAGCTGAATGCTTAGCCCTGTAGACCACGTCCAAGTACCCCCGCATCAGAGAGACTGGCTCAAAAACACCATGACACACCACCTCTCTTTGAGTCCTGATGGTGGGCCTAGCACTGAGCTATACACTTGACCTATGGAACTTCATTTTCACCTAGTAGGTGGGGTAGGTACTAACTCCTCCCTCTTATGGATGAGGAAATGAGGGCTCAGAGAGCATGATCTTGTCCAAGTTCATACAGCTGCTGACAAGGCTGGGACCTGCCCCAGTGCCTGCATACCTGACCACCATCCCACACTGCCCGCAGCCTCTGCAAAGTTTCTGCCAACATTCTTTATATTTGCAACCCCTCTCACAGTATCCATTCTATGTGCCTCTCTGTGGCGTGGGTAATTAAACTCCGAACAACTTAAGGCAGAGGGTTTGCTAGAAAAATGACAGTGTTGAGAACAAAGAAAGCTGATTTCGCGGCATGTCACGGAACTCCCCAAGCTCTGGTTTCCTGATCTGTAAATGGGGACAGCTGCTGCCCCATCACCAAATGGAAAACTCAGGACCCTGAGGCTCTTGTAAAAGCTTCTTGTAACCTGGAGAATTGTTACTAACCGCCACCCTGCAGCTGCCTCATCCTCGCTGTCAGGAAGTAAGCTTATTGTTATTAATAACAATATTGATCACTTTTCGATGACACTTCTGTCCTAAGCACTTTACGTGGGTTATCTCATTTGTATTCATATACAAATCTTACAGAATAGGTTTCATTTTTGTTTTTTTTTTTTGTATTTTGGCTGCTATTTTTTGGGTCTTCGTTGCTGCTCACGGGCTTTTTCTAGTTGCAGGGAGCGGGGGCTACTCTTCGTTGCAGTGCACGGGCTTCTCATTGTGGTGGCTTCTCTTGCTGCGGAGCACGGGCTCTAGGCGCACGGGCTTCAGTAGTTGTGGCGCATGGGCTTAGTTGCTCCGTGGCATGCGGGATCTTCCCAGACCAGGGATCGAACCTGTGTCCCCTGCATTGGCAGGCGGATTCTTAACCACTGTGCCACCAGGGAAGCCCCAGAATAGGTTTTAATACCATCTCTGTGCTGCACATGAGGACCTGGGGCACACTGAGGCTAAGTGACTAGTCGGAGATCACAGACCTAGTAAGTGCTAGGGCTGGCATTCAACCCCAGGCCGCCTGGCTCCAGGGCAAAGCTCTCTAACAGCAGAATGCATCCTCCCACAAACCCAAAAAGATACATCCAGTAGGGCCAGGATCCCCTGGCAGGCCTCGAGGCTGAAGAGAGGCTGTTCGCTCCTTAGACCTGTGAAGGAACAGAAAGAGTCTGCATGGGCGTGGCCCCAGGACTGCATGGCCCTTTTCTGAACAGGAAGGGGCAGTGCTGCCTAGGCAGGCCATAGGGGCCAACGACCACCATTTACGTTGGGGCAGGAAGAATGAGAACAGTGGAGACAGAGAGAGAAGGCTTAGAGGGGATTCCTACATCCCAGTAACACAGTAAAACCCTGCAGAGAACATTCTGGTTTTGCTTCACAGTAGGTCAGATGAACATGGCCCTGTGTATCGGAGGGCTGGGATGGGGGCAGACAGGACGATAGAGTCACAGGCTCCCCAGTCTGAAAGGGCACCTTTTTCAAGCTCCCACCCAAACTGGGAGACAATCTCAGATGTCCTGACAGATGGCCTTTCGGTCCTGGGAGCTCACTCTTTCACATGAATCCATAGCTCCAAGTCAGGAGAAATTTCTCCTGTTAATTCCAAAGGAAGCTCCTGTAAAACTCACTCACCAGTCCTAGTTCTACCTCCAGAAAAGCATAAACAGGTATTTGTCCCCTCTTCGACTCCTCCCCTCCATTCGAAACATCTAAACATTTCTCCATCGGTTCCCCAGATGATATGGTTTCTAAATCCTCACCTCCCTCTTCTACGCACTTTGCTTTGCGAGCATCTCCCTAAAATGTGGTACCAAGACTGGAACGCACTCCTGCAGATGCAGGTGGATTAAGCAGAGTACACTGGGTCTATCACTTCCAAAATTTTCAGTCCACATTTCCCAAATGAGGTTCCCAGGGAAACGCTTTGCAGAGAAAGGGTTTTGAGTTCAAATCCATTTGAAATATTCTGTATCTATGACCCTTGTCTGCATCACCATGTACCTTAGCACGTGATCCGTGTACAGGAGCCAATGTTGAAATTTTGTTTAATGCAGAATTTCCTAAGCACCGTTGACCGTAGAATCGAACCCATTTTACTTCATGGAACACTTACTAAAACCTCTCGGTTTCTAACATTTCTCGGAACACAATTTCAAAAACACACTAAATGCTTCCATTAAATACCGCCTGAATTTGGGTTCGCTTATTTAGCAGCAACTTGAAACTATTAGCACATGTTAAGCTCAAGGTCAACTAAATTAACCAGATAGCTTTCAAATTAACTGCCACAAAGATGAGGTCTCTTCTCTTAGGAACTTGTGCAACTGATTTTTTAAATATTATAAAATGGCAGATTTTAATTATCACCCTGACTACATTTCATCTTTTGGGCTTGGGCACAGCTTGTGGTGAACATTCTGAATTTTAATTCTGTTGGCTATTATATTAATTATTGCTCCCAGTTCTGTGCCCTCTGCAGATCTGATAAGCCTGCATGCCATGTCTTCTTCCAAGCCATTGATAAAAGTTGAGGAAGTGTAAGGGGACCAAGGGCAGAATACAGAGCCTCTCAACTAAATACTTAAAACGTATAGGCTCTGACCCATAACATAGAATTATCTCTCTGGGTTCATATTTATATAACTCTTGGGATGATGATAAAACTTGTGAATCATATTGCAACTTTCCAACCCACACTTCATCATTTATTATGGGAGACTTTACCAACTATTTTGCCAAAAGCTATAGCAGCTCTCTGATCTATCAACCAGAAACCCTCTCATAGGAATAAATGAAAGCAATGTGTCCATCCATCCTTTCCAAAGTCATTTTGCATACTTGTGATTAACGCCTTAAAAATTTAAATGTGCAGAAGCCATCTCTTTTACATTTTTTTTGTTTTTTGAGGAGGTGTAGGGAGGGGCTGCATCTCATATTGTATAATTTCTAGAGTCTCCCTTTCTGGCTCTTTTATGATACCCGAGTTTGGCTTTGAGAAACCACCTGGAAATTATACAGTTTCTGAGTGTGTTTGGGTTTGAAATCTTGGCTTCATGTAAAGGAGAAGCAATCACATATTTCAGGTAGCAAATACCCTTTAATTGTTTGGTTTACTTTTTTTCAAAATCATGTTTTTCTCACTCAAAATACTTTTATATGGGCTTTAAGCTTTCCTGATGATTTATCCCAAGCTTCATACAAAGGCATCCACACCGCCCATCTGCAGTTCTCCTTCGTGATGTGCTCCTATCAGGTTTCTGTGGGTTAATCAATTTAACTATGAGCTCATCAGAGAGCTCTCTGGTAAGCTAGTCGATACTTAATATTTATTTGCCGGGTCGAGAAAATGAATGCCATTCTTCCACATGGACTTTATATGCCAAGAAAGAACTATTCAGCTATTCTTCTCAAATTAGCAAACTCGCAGAAATCTTCATTTTCACTGCCATCTATCTTTACACACTCAACTAAGCAAAAAAAAAAAAAAAAAAGAAACAATTTTCTAAGCTGCATAAATTCCTCTACCTCTTTGTCAGACCACACGACCCACCCTGGTATAAGACACAGCTCCTGGGGGGACCCGTGGGCATTCACATGTCCCACCAGGAGAAAGAGAAATAGACCCAGAGTTCAGAAAGGTTGTGACCCCTGAGTCCTACAGGATGACTCTGAAATACTCACCTTCCCAGGGCATGTGGTTCAGGATCTTCTGCAGTTGGACTGCCTTTATTTCTGGATGCTGGAGCAGAAGCAGAGTGGTAGAAGAGAATCATCACTGCTGAAGGCTCGTTAGATGCAGAGGGCCCACAGCTAAAGGGGGTTGGGAAAGGCCTCTCCCACATCTGCTCAGGGTGGCACATATGCCATTTCTGGGCAGAATAACTGATGCCATTTTTCTGCACATAAGGAACATGACTAGACGTATAATTAAATCTGGAATTTCATAAGAACTTCTACAACAGTTTAACTGGGTGCCAAGTTCAGAGCACCCCAGCAGGGCAGGACTCTTAAGAGGTAGACTAATAGCGGTGATTCTCAAACTGGGTTCTATAGAGATGCTTTGAAAGTTCAGCAGTTGGGTTTCAGTTTTATTACTAATAAACTATCCTTAGCCAAGAGTCCAGATTTCCATTTTAGAGTTCAGAAAAGCAACCCTTTACATGAACATTTAACTTTAGGACATATTAATGCAATATAAGTACCATAAATTTGAGCTTATATAATGGCTGTAAGTTATCTGTTCATATTTATCTGTTTTATATATGTTAGGTTTCTCTGTGAGATTCCATTTGATAAAGAGGACTGCCGCAGAAGATGTTTGGAAACCCCTGGTATGGAGGAAAACTTTTATAAACAACACACATAAGATTCTGATGTATCCTCTCTGATGACATTAAGCAAAATGCCAGTGGTGAAGATGAGAGAAGACGGGAGGGCTGTTACTAACACAGGCAGTTCATGTTCTTCCAGTTGTAATGACATCACTCAGATGTCAGGCCCAGATTTCTTGCCCTGTTTCTAAATGTATTTCGCATCCTTCAGGTTAGGGACGGGGTGGCCTCTTGCTGGTGCTCAAACCTGGGTCAGCCCAAGGAAAGAACTGGAAGGGACCAGGAGGGTAGGCTTCCTCCTCCCCAATGCCTCTTACCGGTTCCACCCCCACCAACCCACCCACGGGGTCTTCTCCCTGGGTGTCCCTCCCCCAGACCCCCCAGGGCTCATCATTGCCAGGCTCCACCCACACCTCCCAACACTGAGTCCCACCTCTGCCATATTCCATTGTCACAGGGATTAAAAATTAAAGTTGTTTTTCCTACAACGAATCAAGGTAGCTTCCAAGAACGGATATGCATTTTACAGGAGCCTTCTGGAAACAACAGCTCTACTCATTTGTCTAAAACCTTGAGGGCTTTCATAGAAAGTGGCAGTTTGGGGACTAGGAAGCCTTAAATCACAATTTACACACAGGGTCAGGCAGATGCAAACCCACCCGCCATGGGATTATAGGCTCCACAGCGTGCCCTGCTCCTTGCTACCCCCCCTTGGTTCAACTTACCTTTTCAAAGAGTTGGGTGAAGAATTCATCCTGCCCTCCATTTGGTCTAGTCTCCTATAGGAACAGACACACAGAAGGACTTGGTCATTCCCCTGGACGAATGGACTCTCGGGCACACACTAATGTGCTCACGGCTCCCAGGCCTCTGAAATCTGTGAGTCTGACCTTGAGTGCTGGTTTAAATGTTTTGCCATAGCACTCACCCACATCCCTGTTTCTCCAGTCGTCACTGGCTTTGGGGAAGTAGCAAACCGTGAAAGGGGCAGAAGAAACACCGGGTAGAGAGAAACAGAAGGACATGGAGGTGTGACTCCTGCATCTGGGGCTCCGGGCCTTCAACGCCAAGGACCTGACCAGAGGGCAGTTATTTTGGTGCAAAAACAGCAGAACCTGCATACTTCTAGGGCACGATAGATAACATACTATGTGCGCCATAGAGTACGGCCTGCAGGATCTGCAGACCTCTTCCCCGGACCCCTGAATGTGAGGGGAGAAGCCCCCCTTCCCAGCTCTGTAAACAGTCCCCATCATGTGGAATTCCACCTGACAACTCACCTTAGGGAAGATGACACTTGAATTGCGGCCAATTTCACTGAGGGGGGAGAAAAGACCGAATTACTTCTTGGGGATCATTTTGGGAACGTTTTGACCAATATTCTCCCACCCCTGGGAACTCACCTTCCCAGTTCCTTAGCTGACGCCCCACTTGCCCTTGAAGTGTGCAGTCTGGCACAGGGCTTGGCACACGGCTGTACCTCCCCACGTGCCCTGTGTTCTCACCCCACGGCCTTTGCTCAAGCAGAACCCTCCTCCCGTGTGCCCTTTCCTTCCCCCACCCTCATCTAACTACTCCCGCTCATACGTTCAGACTCAGTGGTCTCACAAGGCAGTGAGGCCTGGGACCAAGATAAACTATCTATGCCCGAAATATGATGGAAAAAGACCTGGGTTCTAGCACTGAAGGGCTGTCATGTCGGAACAATCATAGGCAAAATACAGGCTTACCTCATTTCACTGTGCTCCGCGTTAGTGCATTTTTTTACAGATTGAAGGTTTCTGGCAACCCTGCATAGAGCAAGTCTATGGGCGCCATTTTTCCAACAGCGCTGGCTCACTGCCTGTCTCTCTGTCACATTTTGGTAATTCTCACAATATTTCAAGCGTTTTCATTATTATATTTGTTACTGTGATCTTTGATCAGTGATGTTACTATGGCAAAAAGATTCTAACTCACTGAAGGCTCAGACAATGGTTAGCATTTTTTAGCAGTCAAGTTTGTTTTTTTTTTTTTGGCCGCACAACTCGGCATGCAGGATCTTAGTTCCCTGACCAGGGATCCAACCTGTGCCCCCTGCAGTGGAAGCGCAGAGTCCTAACCACTGGACAGCCAGGGAATTCCCGAGTATTTTTTAATTAAGGTATGAGCATTGTTTTTTTAAGACATAATGCTATTGCACACTTAATAGACTACAGTACAGTGTAAACATAATTTTTATATGCCCTGGAAAACCAAAAATATCCTGTGACTCTCTTCAACACAGTATTTGCTTTATTGCAGTGGTCTGGAACTAAACCTGCCATATCGCCGAGATAGGCCTGTAATAAGTTTGGCTGGGATGAGTGTATATTGATTCGTCTGAGCCTGATGGTTGATGACAGCCCCCCTCAACTGAACAAACCCTGTGCGTCTCTTAGGAATCACCACGTCCTTAAGGCCACCCCTGCTTCCCCCAGGACCATGGAAGGGTGGCTCAGATGCTTCTCCTTGGTGCTCTCCAAACACCCTGGACAGATAAACGCTTACCCCAGACACAGCATAACATAAATAACTGTTCATACGTCCATGTCCTTTCCAGCCTTTGAGCCCCTGGAGGGCAGGGGCCAGACCTGTTCTAGCTTTTTCTCTCTACGTCCAGCAGAGTGTTCATTTGTTAGGAGGAGAGTGGGGAGGAAGAAGTGAGAGATGTCTCTGCGCAGACAGCTGCCCTGCTCTCCTGCTCACCCTGTCCCCTGTGCTGGTCACAGAGACCCTCGTCCTCCGCCATTTTCGTCTCACCCTGCCCCCCTCCCCTGGCCCGAGTGGACCCCAACCTCCGGGAGAGGCCTGGACCTTACTAAAAGACGCGCTTCCTGGAGAAGACTCTGAGGACAAACTCAGACTCCTGGCAGGACTCAGATGTGCAGGGCACAATGACGTATGTCCCAGGCTCCAGCCACAGCTCCCGACTCACCTCCTTCTCTCTGAGAAACGTCTCAGGCCAATTCAGGGGAGCATTTTCCCAGAAGAACTTGGGAGGCAGTCTCCTCTGGTCATCATAGCTCTGTGGGTAGAGGACGGGCACCTTTGCTGGAACCCTACATGAGGTTGAATAAATATGTCGACTGATTTGACTTTGTGTTAAAAACAATATCATACACAAGATGAGGTGAGGAATGTCACTGTGTCTGCACTTTCCACTTTACAGTTGAGGGTCTGAAGTTCAGACAAGTTAGGTCATCTGCACAAAGTCACCTAGCGGGTAAGAGTCTCAGCCAGGACTGGAATTCAGGACAGCTGAGCTCCAATGTCCACATTCTCGATACTTCCTGAAGCTGCCTCCATGTATGTGCTACCATTTCAAGGTTGATCATGACATGATTATGCTCATAGGTACAGACGGACCACCAGCCATCTCCCATACAGATCAACTGGATATTCCGTGTCATCTCAGTGAAAGCAGCCTCTGAAAGAGGAAAGAGTACTGGCCAAAGCTCAGAAGACCCAGATCAGAGGTCTGGTTTGTGTTTTGTTTTATCTCTTATTTTTATTCTCTCTTTCTCTCTCCCTCTCTCTTTTATATCCCCCTTTGGCCCTATTTTTCTCTCTTGCTTCCTCTTCCCTTGGCTCTCATGCAGGGCTATGGAGGGAGGGGAGATCCATAGGGGGGATGCACACAGTTGCTGCTGAAGACACTATCCACCACATAAAGACATTTCCCAGATTCCACTTAGGGCTGGGGAAACAAAATGTATCTCTTGGTGATACATGCTTTCTTTACTGAGACAATGAGAACTAGAAAATCAGCCCTTTGCTGTCTTTGCCCTGGCTGCCAGGAATCTCAGAACTAAATTTTATAATCAGCTGCAGTAGCTGTTCTAGGTTTAGTGCTCCTGGTAGAATTAACTGCTTCCCTATCTCTCATCTATTTATAACTTTTTTCTCGCCTTTTGAATTCTGTAACTGGTTCATAGTTTTGTTCTGTTTATACTTTTTATTGTAGGTTGACCCAATTCTATTTAGGAATAGGCTTAGATATAAATAGCTTTTTTTTATATGAATAGTAGAATTTAATAGAAATTCATGGCATTTTAGATTTGTCTAGATTTACCAATGTTTATTTAGAGATCTGGCATCATTTATACTATTTCCTAGACTTTTTTTTTTAATTTAATTTTATTTTTTTATAGAGCAGGTTCTTATTAGTTATCTATTTTATACATGTTAGTGTACATGTGTCAATCCCAATCTCCCAATTCATCCCACCACCACTCCTCGACTAAATCACTTTTTCTTTTAAAATTAATCGGCAACTTTGGGAGCGCTCAGTATTCCCTCGGGAGGAAAACAAAAAACCCAACCAAGCCAAGACACCCAATGCAAAATGGTTTCTTTACAAAAACGCTTTTACTCGATTCAGTCCAATCTGAGAAAATTAAGTCTTTCACTCCTGTTTTCTTTGGGAAACAAAGAATATCCACCACCTTTCAGAGGCTGGGATAGCTCAGGCCTTCTTAACTGATCCCTCTAGGCTGCCACTCAGCTGAAACAGAGTTGTTGCTGTCCTCTGCCTGTGTTTCTGTTTTGTTTTCCCAGCCTTTGTCCCTCGTCCCCTCGTAGGTGGGCTGCATGGGCTCCTGATGTCCCATCTGTTATAGATCTATTTTATTATGGGCTTCATAACTCAGGCAAGATTGTGATTTTTCCTTCTTCCTACGTTGTGACAGTCTTCAATATTAGCCCTAAGTATTTATGTAGGGATTTAATCGATTCTAAAATGTATCGGTTCTACATCAGGCTCAGACCTGTCTATGGAGGTGTAAGGACTTTGGGGGGCCCTTGGATAAAAACAGCAGATGCTCTTTACTTGCACACACAGAGGCAGTTGGCATTATTGCCAGACCTTCCCGTGGCTCCTTACATAAGGCTGCTGCAGTCTCAGTGAACCCGGGACATCACTCCCTACCAGGGCCAGCCTGGCAAGTGTGCAACTCACCTTGCTCATCTGAAAAACAAAAAAGAGAGGCCTCATTAGGCAGTGAATCCATCTCTTTCACAAGCATGAATTCTAATGGAGGCTGGTATACAAGAAGACTCTACCCAGAGGCCACTTCCCCTCCCATAAGACTTGCTGTTCCAGTCAGTGACATTTTAATCCATCATCAGAAATCCTGGATAAAGGTGAGGCAAGGTAAGCTTGGCTTTTGGGGAGGGGCAAAGGGAACTAGAATTAATTGTACCAACTGTGTGCCAGGCACAATGATAAGCACTGCTACACGATCTTCTTTTACTCCATCTTTTGCATAAATATCATTGTCCCCATTTTACAGATGTACAAACTGATGTTCAAATGCAAGAAGGTGGCTTGTTCTAGATCACATATTCCCAAGGATTTGCACCCATGGTAGACAGAGAAGGATGTAGGTAGACAGAGATGGATGGTAAAGAGGACAGGAAACAGGAAGAAAGGATAAGACTCCACGAGAGGCCCACCTACCCTGAAGAGGTAGAAGCCAATGGCGAGGTGAGGCTTCTTGTTGCGGTGCCTGTGCCTGGGCTTCCGGAGCAGGGACACCAGCACACTACAAGGCATCTGGAACCTCCTGCCCTCCTGGGGCCTCCAGACCGACAGCAGGAACTTAGGGTTCTTCCAAAATGTGTCTGGGGCAGAACATAGCCAAGGTGAGACAGGCTCCCCTAGCATCCTGCTTGCCAAACCACAGAGAGGAGCACAGACCCAGGGTGCTGCCCCGGGATTCCCACCCAAGGTCCACCCGGACAGAGCTGGGGTCCACCCGGACAGAGCTGCACATAAGCTAAGGCTTGGTCCCCGTTAAAATGCTGCTCCCCTGGGACCACAGGCACATTCTCTTCAGTTAGTTAACAGTCCCTGACCCAGGCAGTGAACATCTCCAGGACACAAAGTCTGTGCCAGGCAGTGTGCTGGGCAAAAGCTACAGTGGAGAGTAACTCTCAGGTCTGTGTGTCCGTAGAAGAACCCGAGGTGGAAGAGGTGGGAGGGAAGGGGCAGAGCTGTGGGGACCAAGCCTTAGCTTATGTGCAGATTCAGCCTTCGGGGGGACACTGTGGGGGAGATGAAGGCAGAGCCAGGGCCACCCGGGCCCCGCCGAGATCTTACCCCCTTCACATCTTTCCTACCCAAGAGACGGCCCATTGTGGAGAAAGGGACACAGTCCCCAAACCTCTCCACTTGGAGAATGTATACACTTTCATCTCCTATACCTGATGACCTGGGAATCCTTGATTTTGTTTCTCTACCAAACTCTAGGTAAGAAGGGCCTGATGCATACGATATAAATACTATTTCAATCCTGCCTGTTATGGGGTGGTTACTTCAGCATATCAGTGACCTTATCCTAAAACCACAGAAAGATGTGACCCAACCTCCTACTATGCCTGTGCGCCTGTGGCCGCCTGGTGCCGATTAGGAAAGGGAACCCTCTGGAAAGATACACCCCCAAGAGGTAGGCAGCCTGACTGAGAATTCTACGCCCTGGTGCAAATTAGGACAAAGGTGCCCCATCTTCCTGGTTCACATAGCCCGGGGCCAGCGCACGCAGCTTGGCCAGCAAAGCCCCCTCACCTTCAGCCAGGCGCCCTGGGCAGCGACTCTGTCTGCAGCCCCACCTTTGCCTGGAGAAGCTGCCCCTTTAGACCCAAGAGCCTCTGTCTCCTGTGCACAGGCTCACCTCGGGGTGACTTTGTCGGACCACCAGCCGTGGTCCCTTTCTCCCATCTCCCCTCCAGCATGGTGTACGACCACTTCTGGACCACCTCCTGACTCAGCAGGCCTGGGCTCAGTTTACAGATGACCAGAAGCATGAAATGTGCTTTAAAGTCCTGCAGTGTCATCCTGTGTAGAGGACGAAGGAGATGACATCCAGTCATGAGGACCAGAAGGGAGGCTGCAACTAAGTAACGGGCATCCCAGACCTCTGCTGGACCCAGGGCCCCAGCCTCCACACCCCCATGCAGAGCTGAGCTGGCTTTGGACCCATGAGACTGGGGCTGGATGGACCAGTGTGACGGTCCATCTCGGGCAGGTGGTGCTACCAAGAAACCCCACCCTGTGGCTGGAAGAAGCCTCCAACAATGGCTACCTGAGGGCGATGTTCTTGGGCCACTAATGGTGGTGATAAAGTGGAATTGGGGCATTCACAGCTAGTCAATTGATTTATACATGTTCAATAAGAATTGCACAAATCAGTTCCTCATCATCAATTGATAAAAATCTTCGCCCCAATTGGCTAACGTTGTGCCCCAAGGCGTGTTGTCTGAACCAGCTCAGTTTACTCTCTGTAAACAGAAATCATAGTATTTGCAGGACTCTTGAGTTCAATGACCACTTACTTCAAGAGCGAAAGGGACACAGCAGTCTGAAAAGGATGGGTACAGGGAGAGGAGGGACAGCGTGGGAGTTAATAGTAAGGGTGAAAAGTGGAAGGAACGGGGAACAGGTGGGTCTCATGTCAGACACCCAGAAGCAGCATCAGCTCAGGGTGTCTGGTGGCCTTTCATAAAAAGGGGTGAGAGGCTTCGGGGTGGGTGGGGGTAGTATTGCTGTGCTCTGGAGGGCACAGGTGCGGTGGTTTATAGTTGGCAAGAAACAGAAGTCGGAGAGGAGGCAGTGGCCACACCCACCCTCTGCTTTGAGCACCCGCTGAGTTCCATGCCAGGGGTCTCTGCTCTCATCACAGAGACTGTGACTGTTTGATTGCCCTGCTAGGCCATGAGCCCCTAAAGGGTCTTCTTGATCTCTGTATAAGAGATCTTGTCTCTTGATCTCTCTTGATCTCATGTATGCCTGGCATACATGAGGCACCCTGTAAACGTTTGCTGGCTGGATGTCCTAATGTAAGCCAGGGCATGTGCCCCAAGTCTCTGAGTCAAATACCAGAATTCCCCATCATCATCTTTCCTCAGCAGCAGAATCTTCTCCTTGAGGCTCAGTAGCTCGCACGTACTTGAGCTGAAAACAGAAAAGAAATGTTTTCATGGGGAAGGAAAGGATTGAGAGGGACATGCAAGAAATTCTTCAGTAAATGCTCTATAGTGTTGCTATTTATTCTCATCTTCATACTGCTTGCAGACAATTACATCTCACATCCTCTATTATGAAAGCGACGTGTGACATTTATTCATCACTTACTCTGAGCCAAGTTCTGGGCTAGGCTCTTGACATATTTTATTTCATTTAAGGCTAACAGCAACTTTACAAAGTAGGGATTTTTATTGCCATTTCAAAGATTAGGAAACTGAGGTTAAAAGAGATTAGGTCACTTGCTTGAAGTCACAAAGTTATTAAATGTCAGAACTAGCATTGGAACCTATGTTACTATTGGGTTTTTTTCCACAGCCCATCATTTTGGACTTCTGTTTCTGGCTACAAAGGAGTAAGGCTTTCATGTACCACTTCCCCACTATAAACAACTAAAAATGGGACAAAATACAAGAAACAACTGCTCTTGGACATTAGACAGCAGGCAGCACAGAATTATGACCCCAAGAGGAGGGAGACAAATAAAGTGAGCCTAACATTGCCTAGACTCCTGCCTGAAACTACTTCCCTGGACAGTGACGCAGGGAAGTGGACCCACAAAGAGCCCAGCAGTCTTGCTGAGTGGAAGAGACAGAGTCTGAAGTTCAGGGAGACAAGACAGCTAGAATTTGCTGGGGAAAGTGCCCAAGAGGAGGGGGCTACTTAAACAAGGACCTCCAGAGAACTTAACAGGTGTTCCCTTGAGTCTTTGGCTAAAATAAAATCTGTCCATACATAAAATGAAATCCCACAAGACTGGACTATACACAGAACAATTTCCAGAGCTGACACCAGGCTGGAAATCATTTGAATTCCCACCAGCCAGAGTCAAAAGACCTTACAGTATACATGGGGTCTTTAGTAGAGAACCCAAAGGGTCTACACCTTAGTAGTGGGGTCAAGTTAGGCCCCAACTAAAAGTTTTCCTAGAACTGTCCTAAAAGAAAACTTCAAAGTATCAAAATAATCCCTAAGCAACTAAATCTACAATGTCCAGTATCGAATAAAAAATCACTATGTATATGGGCTTCCCTGGTGGCGCAGCGGTTGAGAGTCTGCCTGCTGATGCAGGGGACACGGGTTCGTGACCCGGTCCGGGAAGATCCCACATGCCGCGGAGCGGCTGGGCCCGTGAGCCATGGCCGCTGAGCCTGCGCGTCCGGAGCCTGTGCTCCGCAAAGGGAGAGGCCACAACAGTGAGAAGCCCGCATACCGCAAAAAAAAAAAAAAAGAAAGAAATCACTATGTATATGAAGAAGCAGAAAATGTGATCCACTATCAAATCAATATCAAAAAAACAAACAACCCAATCCAAAAATGGGCAGAAGACCTAAACAGACATTTCTCCAAAGAAGATATACAGATTACCAACAAACACATGAAAGGATGTTCAGCATCACTAATCATTAGAGAAGTGCAAATCAAAACTACAATGAGGTATCACCTCACACCAGTCAGAATGGCCATCATCAAAAAATCTACAAATAAGAAATGCTGGAGAGGGTGTGGAGGAAGAAAGCGAACCCTCCTGCACTGTTGGTAGGAATGTAAATTGATACAGCCACTATGGAGAACAGTATGGAGGTTCCTTAAAAAACTAAAAATAGAACTACCATATGACCCAGCAATCCCACTACTGGGCATATACCCTGAGAAAACCATAAATCAATAAGAGTCATGTACCACAACGTTCATTGCAGCTCTATTTACAATAGCCAGGACATGGAAGCAACCTAAGTGTCCATCGACAGACGAATGGATAAAGAAGATGTGGCCATATATACAATGGAATATTACTCAGCCATAAAAAGAAATGAAATTGAGTTATTTGTAGTTCGGTGGATGGACCTAGAGTCTGTCATACAGAGTGAAGTAAGTCAGAAAGAGAAAAACAAATACCGTATGCTAACACATATATATGGAATCTAAAAAAAAAAAATGGTTCTGAAGAACTTAGGGGCAGGACAGGAATAAAGACAAAGATGTAGAGAATGGACTTGAGGTTACGGGGAGGGGGAAGGGTAAGCTGGGACGAAGTGAGAGAGTGGCATGGACATATATACACTACCAAATGTAAAATAGCTAGTGGGAAGCAGCCACATAGCACAGGGAGATCAGCTCGGTGCTCTGTGACCACCTAGAGGGGTGGGATAGCGAGGGTGGGAGGGAGACGCAAGAGGGAGGAGATATGGGGATATATGTATATGTATAGCTGATTCACTTTGTTATAAAGCAGAAACTAACACGCCATTGTCAAGCAGTTATACTCCAACAAAGATGTTTAAAAAAAAAAAAAGAAAGAAAATGTGATCCATGACCACACGTAAAAACAGACCTAGAAATAAGAGAGATATGATGGAATTAGCAGATAAGGACATTAAAACACCCATTATAAATGCGCTTCATGTTCTCAAGGATGTAAAGGGAACTATGGACATGATGAAGAGAAAAGTGAAAGATATTCTCAAATGGTATCTCTAGTATTAAAAAATATAATATCTAAAATGAAAACTACTCTGGATGAGACTAACAGCAGATTAGACACTATGGAATAAAGCCCATCATTTTATTTAATCCTCATCACACATCTGGCTCAAAGAAATTAAAAAGTTTGCCTAAGATCACACAGCTACCAAAATTAATTTAACCCGTCATTTTTCTCAAAGACAAGCACTTGTTTTCCTAAACAAACCACTACCAACAACGTTATGATGCTATATTTCTACAACACTTTAAAATTTATATAAATCGGGCTTCCCTGGTGGCGCAGTGGTTAAGAATCCGCCTGCCAATGCAGGGGACGCGGGTTCGAGCACTGGTCCGGGAAGATCCCACATTCCCAATTAAGCCGGTGCGCCACTGAGTCTGCACTCTAGAGCCCACATGCCACAACTACGGAAGCCTGCGCGCCTAGAGCCTGTGCTTCGCAACAAGAGAATCCACCGCAACGAGAAGCCCAAGCACTGCAATGGAGAGTAGCCTCCACTCGCTGCAACTAGAGAAAGCCCAAGCGCAGCAACGAAGACCCAACGTAGCCAAAAAAAATTTATATAAATCTTTGGATGCCATTTTTCCACATAGACCCAGTCCCTCCAACAATTCTCTTTATTAATGTATAATAAATAGAGTGTAGTACATTCTATCAGGAGTAATATTCCACTTATTTTTCTGAGCCTTCATTTTTTCATCTGTAAAAATGATTAAGTGATAATGCATATGTGAAAATGTCAAAAGCACGCATTTGAATTTGTGTGCCAAAGGCAGCCTCCTTTGCAGCCTTTACCTACCCCGTGCTCACCCCTCCCAGCCAGTCTCAGAAGTTCACCTGTCACTCCAGTCTCCTTTCCATTCCACTCTTCCCCAGGGGTTCCGCAGCTTGACTAGGTACGCAGGTCCATGTTTGGAGGTCACCTGTATAAAATAAGAACCAGTCCAGTGGCTGGGCTGAGTGCCAATAGCAAATGTTGCAGATATCTGGGTGAGATTCATGCCTGCAGATGAGACCTTGAAATGAACGATCAAAGGCCCTGGGAGTTGGTAAGAGGAGAAAATGGCTGTGCTGCTCACTAGCTGTGAGACCTAAGGGAAGTTACTTAACCTCTCTGTGTCCTTTTCCTGATCTGTAAAATGAAGCCAATAGTCACATCTACTGCAATGATTTGAATGGGTACCCTCCTCCAAAGATACGTTTACCTAGACTCCGTCAATGTGATCCTATTTGTAAAAAGGGTCTTTGCAGGTGTAATTAAGTTAAGGATCTTGGGATAAAATCACTCTGGATTAGGGTGGGTCCTAAATCCGATGACAAGTGTCCTTACAAAAGAATAGAAGGGGAAAGACACAGAGGAGAAGGGTGTGTGAAGATGTAGGCAATGACCGGAGCTATGCATTCCAAGCTGAGGAATGCTGGGAGCCACCTAAGCCGAAATAGGCAGGAAGGATCCTCCCCTACAGCCATTGGAGTGAGTACGGTATTAAGGACACATTGATTTCAGACTTCTGCCTTTAAGAAACACTGTGAAAAATTAATTTCTCTTGCGGCAATTTGTTATGGCAGCCCTAGGACACCAATACACCTACTCATAGGACTGTTGTGAGGATTGAGCTAACATGGGTAAAGCAGTTAGGACAGTATTTATCACATATTAAGTGCTAAATTTTGTTAAATACATTTGTTAAATAAATATAAAATCATAAACATAAATATTTTTAAATATAAATTTTGTTATCTCAATATGAAAATAAAAGTTCTTGACGCACACAAACATGACTGATGGTGATCTAAGAGAAAGAAGAAATCAGGTGCGAATGGAGTTGAAAAAGTCTGAAACAGAGTTAAAGGGAATTGGAGGACTTTGGGGAAGTCACACTTACACTTACAGCCAAATAAACCTGGGGTCTGAACCCAACTCTAACCATTTACTGACTCAGTTTTATCATTTCAGTTTTATCATCTACAAAATAGGGATAATATATACTTTGTAAGATTAGTGGGAAAATTCAACTATTCATTTCGTAATGAATACAAAACATTTAGTCCAGTGGCTGGTCCATAATAAGCACTCAGTAAATTGTGTTAAAATAGTAATTAAAATTATTCCGTAATGATTGCATTTAGTGCTTACCAAGAGGTCTTTGGGAAACTCTCAGCCCTGGGACTGAATGTGAGCTGCCTGTCTACAGGATACCCAGGGGAAGCTCAGACTGGAGATATGAATGTTTAGGATTATTGGCATACAGATGACAACCGAAATCTTGCAAGTGGGTAATAGCACAGCAGTAGATTGGTTGTTTTTGCCCTCGCAGGGAACAGTCCTCCAAATATAATTTTTAAAATTTCAGTTCCTTAAGTTAACCATAATACAACACAGTGATTGGCTCCCTGACTGTTAACCATACCATATCAGACCACATCTGGGTTTATCAATCAGTTCACCTACACTTCATAAAAACTGTGGCATGTGCCCTGCTCTGCCTCGTTCTAGGTACTAAGCTTCTGTTCCGCTCTCTGGGAGAATCATGACACTTCGAACTGTCATGCAAACAAAGTAAGTCATGTGTGTGAGAGCAGCTAGCATAGCGCCAGCCACGTAACAGGCTTCCAGGCAGCAGTGATTATCCTCATCTCCTACACTTGGGCGCATGCGACTCAAGCCTTATAATTATTTTTGGCACCTACATCTTAGTGTTGACTCACATTGAGTTTGCTGTCAATTCAATCTCATGTCTCACATGTTAAAACAAGTGAGTTCTGTCCCATCCTGCAAAAGGAAACCCTTTGAGAAGATCCTGGTCTGAGCTTCAGTATCCTTGTGGCTATCAGTAGATATCATTTTCCAAACCTCCTGTTCCTCCTGTGGTCTCAGTTTCTATTCACAGCATCACCATCTACCCAGGCTTCTCAGAAACACTCAGAGCACGTAACACAAATATGTAATTATGTATGTAGGATTCTCTATACACACAAATACATGTATCTGTCAAATCTAAGAGGATGCTATATGCCAGATGCTAAGAATACTTTTTTATCTGACCTACCCCTCCCCCAAAAAAAGCATTGAAAAAGATCACAACTCCCAAGCCAAGGAGGTGAAAGAAAGAAGAATCCAGATAGGTATCAGAATAGCACTGACATGGGGAACAAAAAAAGAAGGCTCCTTTTTAAAATTTCAACATTGTTTTGAAAATTCCGGCAAAATATGAAATACAATTATAAACCTAAATAGTATTAATAAAGAAGAAAAACACTAGTTGATCCTCATTTAACTGGAAAACTAAGAATGAACTAAAAAGTACTGTATGAATGAGTATTAAGTAAAAAAACTATACATTAGATAAATACTTTTTAAAGTAATGGCATTCCTATGTATAGCAATAAGCAGTTAGAAATTATCATAATAGAAATATCTTTCATAGTAACAATAAAAATATAAAATAACAGAGAATAATCTTAAAGGAAATTTTTTTACCTATTTGTAAACTACAGAAAGTTTACACGGATGTAAAAGAATAAGTGGAAAGCTGTATCATTTCCTTGGATTGAAAATTTAAATATTAAGAAGATGTTAATTCTCCAAAAATTAATTTATAATTTTATTGAGATTCTGATAAAAAAATATCCCAATGATCTTGTTTTGTGGGGGAGGGGAGAGACGAGGAGAAGGTAATTGACAAAACATCTTCAAAATTGATCTGGATGAGTAAACACAGAGACATAAGATTAATGTCCTTATTGTAAAAACAAGGAAACTTTTTCAAAACAATGAGAAAAACACAAAGTGTTTTTAGAAAAATGAAGGATAAACAAAAATAGACAGTCACAGAAGAAATATAAATGGCTAATAAACAAATGAAAAATTTCAAACTTTTTTGTAATAATATATACACTCATTTTAAAAAATGAGATATTTTCCAGTTCCCAAATTGGTGAATTTATTTAAATAATAACATACAGTGTTGGGGGAAAAAAAAAAAAACCCTAGGAACTCTAACATCCCTGCAATAGGATATAAACTGTTGTACCTCTTTTGAAAAGCAATTTGGTGGTAAGTATCAAAAGAATTAATAATGTTGCCAATGGTTCCATTTATAAAATACATATTAAGTAAATAAAACCATGGATGAAGAATTATGTACAAAGGTGTTCATCTTTCAGTGAAACAGAATAGATAACTCTGAAATAAAGCTTTTATTATTGTTGGCAATAATTCTGCCAATGACTTACATGTTCGTTATTTAGTATGGCTAATTAAATTAAGGAATTTCCATAGAGTTGGATATTAGCATTCATTCCAATTAATTATCTGAATAGTTTTCCAGGATATGTGAAATACACATGGTATAATGTTGACTGGGGAAAAGGCAGAGGATAAATAAATACATATTGACAGAAATAAGACAGAAACTAAATTACCCGCAAATTTCATAATTACTTTTCAATTAGAAGGAACAGAAGATTTTGAGAAAGAGAGAGAGAGAGAGAGGAGGAGGGGGAAGACAACAAGGACAGGAAGAAAGTGAGACTAAGAGATTGTTAAAACATGTTAGTAAGGGAGAGTGAATATTCATACCAGATATTAAGATGTATCATAAGATTACAGTAATTTTAATGGCATGTTACTAAAAATAGACACAGCTCGCTGAAACAGGAGAACTCTGAAATAGGGTTATACTATTTCAATAACTTATAATAATGTGTCTTTAAGAAGACTTGACAAATCAAAAGAGAATGGAAGACTATTCAACAGAGAACTGGTAAAGAATCTGGAAATAATTTTGAATACATCACCACTCCACAACTTTATACCAAAAAAAAAAAAAAAGCTAATGATGAATTTTAAAGTTACATATAAAAGTTTCAAACTAGAGAACAATTTCAAGAAAATAAAAACTCAAATTCTTGAGCAGGAGAACTCTTTCTAAGTTTAATGTAGTAATGGGAGAAATCATAAAGAATAAAACCAATAGCTTTGGGCTTCCCTGGTGGCGCAGTGGTTGAGAATCTGCCTGCCAATGCAGGGGACACGGGTTCGAGCCCTGGTCCGGGAAGATCCCACATGCCGCGGAGCAACTAAGCCCATGCACCACAACTATTGAGCCTGCACTCTAGAGCCTGCGAGCCACAGCTGCTGAGCCCGCGTGCCTAGAGCCCGTGCTCCACAAGAGAAGCCACTGCAATGAGATGCCCACGCACTGCAACCAAGAGTAGCCTCCACTCACCATAATCAGAGTACGCCCGTGTGCAGCAACGAAGACCCAAAGCAACCAAAAGTAAAAATAAATAAAATTAAAAGAAAAAAACCAATAACTTTTCCTATAAAACAATTTTAAACTCAGTAAGCAAAAAGAAATTTTATAATCAAAATTGAGAAGCAAAATACAAACTAAATAAAATAAAAATAAATACAGTTTTTAAATAGAGAATAATTGAGACATAGCTGCTGAGTAGCAGACTTTTAAAGACAGGAGCAGGCTCTGCTTCTTCAACTTCCACTGTTGTCTGCTTTTGTATTTTTAAATAATGCCTGCTCCTATCTTCTGCCTTTATCAGTTTCCTTCTGCTGGTACACATTGTGTGATGGTCATAGCCTTATTGTTTTACAATCATTAGCCAACTGCAGGCAATTCACATTCCCAGTCTCTCTGCCCATCAAGAGCCACTTCCCTAATGAGTCAAGTTAGGGGCCTGCTTCAGCACTGAGCTAGATTTCAAGAGAAATGACAGCTCAGCCTTCCTCATCAAGAAGCTTCGTCTACCTCCCCTAGTGGGGAGACAGGCAAGATTTACCATCTAGGAAAGATGCTCAAGACTTGTCCTTGTTCCAGGGTCCCTCTGGATTCCTGTGCTTTTGTCGTTTCACTGCTTTGTTACTTTTATTATCCAAGGGGGGTTGTTTAGTGGGATGGTGCTATCAAGGTACTGCCTACAGGGACAGATTGATATGTCTGGGCTTGGGACCAAGAACTTGCTTCTGGTTTTGCTTTCATCAGGAAGCTCGGAGCCACACAAGCTGCTCACTTCTAAGGAGCACTGGGTGAGCTCACCTCCCCCCGACATGATCGCTGCTGCACCCGCCACCTGCCCCTTCTCCTCCTATCTACTGCCTCAAGGGTTAAATTATTTTTCAGAATTCAGAAGATTTTGGAAAGCTGCCTCACACCTTTTTTGGATTGATGGGAAAGGAGGTAGGATGATAGATAGCTCCACAGAGGATGCCTGTGGGGGCAAAGCTTTCGACCTCTCTGTGTGAGTGTTCCTCTCGAGGAAGCATTGGTATCTTCACTTTCAGCACTGCTGTGAGGACCAGATGCTACAAGGGCAATGCCCACCCTCTAGGAACACAAGTGCTATGAAAGCAGAGACTGATAATGAAGGTGATGATGGAAGGTTTTCTAATTATAGCTCACATCTTGTAAGTTACAAATGTCTTGCCTTTGGGAGATGAGGTTCTCAGGAAACTGAGCTGTAGGGGCTCAAGAAGCAGACACTTTAATAAAACCAGACATCCACCACTGCCTCCCATAGTGTGGGCTTTCTTCCTTGTGATATTGGACTTTTCCGGTGAGCTCACCCCTGGTAACCTAGGGATGAGATTCTCTTTCTGCCCCCAAGAGCTGCTGTGTATGACAGATGCACGTCCCAGTAATTAAGTATCAATAGGTGTGGCAGTAATGGTATGAACAGGGCAGGCTGTTCAGGGACAACTGGACAACTGGACTCAGCCTGTTACTTCATCTCCTTTTCTGTTTATAAATTTCCTGAGTACAATTTCCTAATCTCCTTATTTTTATTCCAGACTTGCCTTTCTTTGTATGTATTCAGTTTCCATTCATTCAAGGGGAAAGTACAGTAGTTCAAGTAGAAAGAACAGTAGTTCACTTTCCCTTTGAATGAATGAAAACTGAATGAACAAAAGTGAACTTACATGCCATATGTATGTGTGTGTATATATATATATATACACACACACACATATATATATACATGTATGTAATTATGTCTATAGATAGATAGATATTTGTATAGAGATTATAAAATGGTATTAGGTCCTTAACCTACACTGTGTCAGTTTATCCCCACGACAGCATTGTGCAGTGTCATTCTTAGACCGGGTTTCACATATGAGAATATTGACATAAGAAGAGGTTAAATAGCTTAGTCTAATTCTCAACAAGAGGAATTGGCTGAGCTGACGCATTTTCCCCTTCAGCGGAGCTCAACAAAAAGAGTAAACTATGGTGTACTCATCTGGGAGGGGCCAGGCTGGGAGGGGCCCAAGCTCTAGGGTTGTGGACACCTGGGCCACCACTTGAACCATCCTCCTGACTCCTCTAACCTCCCCAGTTAGGGCCAGGGCTCAAGCTTTTTTCTATTCCAAGTTGCCACTGCAGTTTTCACCTTCTTCTCCCTCTACTTCTGGCCAGACTTTGGTGGTCTTAGTGAGAAAGAGAAGAAAAAGAAGGAAAAAGCCCAATTTCATAGCGTCACCCTCAAGGGCCTATAGCGAAGGCCACACATTCCACTACTAGCAGTTGGGCTTCTTGGAGCCGATGAGCCACCCTCAGTTAAGATACAAATGAACTGGAAAAAGTTACTCAGTGACCAATGATATGCTAGCTTATTAAATACGTCCAGAACACAGGGCAGTGCCCACATAGTGAATAACAATAACAGTGATTATTATACTAAGAGCTAACAGTGTATACTGAGCACTGTCAACTGACCAGGCAGTCACTGAGAAATCAACATGCATTGTCTCCATTCATTCTCAAAAAACTCTCACTCACAATGGAGCTGAGGCTGGGAGAGTGAAGCCACTTTCCTGAGGCCACTAAGGATGTGCGGGCCCAGGGACTCTATCTACTGCAGGTTGTCTGCCTGGGAACCTCAGGGTAACAGACTATAGGAGCCACGTGGTGGGCATAGGAGAAGCACCTGGTAGGAGAGAGGCCGCTAGGAGCCAGCGGGAACTGAAAGCGAATGCCGCTGACAGAATGTTGAGTAGGAAAAAAATTAAGTTCCAGGGGACTACTTGTAGCAGGATATGCTTTTTACAAAGTTCCAGAGCACGAAACCTCAACAATATGCTATTATTAATGATAACATTAATTTAAAAACCAAGGGAATAAATTCCAGGTAGTGGCTAGCTCTGGGGCTGGCGGGGCACAGGATAAGGGAGGGACACATAGATACAGGCAAACTATTGCTAATTTTTCCAGTTCTCGGATTGGCTGATAGGTTCACCAGCGGTTCGTTGTATTATTTAAAAGTGTGTTCAATAAAAAAAGAAAAAAATGTAACAAAAAAGCCAGGTATAAGGAGTTTGTCTTGAACCACGATTATGAAAAAAAATCTACTTTTGTGTATCTAAGGACCAGATATTTTTTATAAAGGATGGGGGAATAATAAATAAGTAGCCAAGTACTCACATTCAAGGTTAAGAAATAAAGCACTGCGAATATATAGTTGAAGCCACCTGTGTCCCCATCCCCAATTTCACTTCTGTCCTTAGTCCCCAGAGGACATTGTTTTCCAGATTGTTTTCTATTCCCTTACTTTTTAAAAACTTCTGAGCATCATGAAAAACAGGGAGTGTTTTTTGCATAATTTAAAACTTTAGAGAAGTGGTATTTATTATGCTTTGTATCACAGCCTACCTCGGGCTTTATTTACCCAGCACTGTGTTTTGGCATCAGATCCAGTGTCCTCATTTTCACGTTGGTATAGTACTGTATTATTATATGAAATTAATTTTGTTATATGAACATGGCACAATTTATCCACTTCCTTGGTGAAGAAAATTTCATTGTTTATAATATTTTGCTGTTACAAACAATGTTGCCCTCGACATACTTATCTCCCCATGCACCTGCACGTGGGCAAGAGTCTCTCTAGATAACAAGTAGGCATGGGATCGCAAGGTAGATGGAGGACACGCACACCTTGAGCTTTGCCAGGTAATGCCAAATTGTTTCCTAAGGCGTTTATGACAATCTACATGTCCACCAGTGACGAGTGAGAGTTCCCATTGCACCACATTCTCACCACCACTTGTTATCAACCAATGTTTTTCTTTTTGGCCATTTTGGTGGGTGAGAAGTTCCATCTAATTGTGGTTTGGCATTTCTCTAACTACTGATGAGGTTCAACATTTTTTCTTGTGTTTATAGGGTAGAAGTCACGTAGCCTCTTTTGGAAAAGGAATCTGCCTTCTGCTAATATATTTTTTTCTGTTGGAATGTTTGTCTTTTTCTTACAGATGTGCAGGTATTAATTATATATTTTGGACGCTCTTTGGTTGGTTTTATGTATTGCAAATATCTTTTCACTATCTTTTGTATCTTCAGTTGAATAACAGTGACTTAGGTTTACTATTGCCAAATGTATTTCATTTGCCATTTGTTCTTTTGGTGTCTTATTGAAGGAATTCTTCCTGACCTTGTTGTAATATATATATGCATTCTCTGTTACAACCTCTGTATATATCAGGTTTCCACATGTCCTGACTATTTTACTGGGTCACTGTTCTCTTGATCTATCTCTATGCTAAACCTCACCACCTTAACCACTGCAACTTGATAATGACTTCTACTATGGCAAGTTCCCTTCACCTAGTTGTTGCTCTTGCTGTTGATATTGTCTTCTTTTATTCTCCTCCTTCTCCCTTCCTCCTCTTCCTTTTTTTTTTTTTTTTTTTTTTTTGGTACGCGGGCCTCTCATTTTTTTTTT